CCTTTGGAGCATCACAGAGGATTGTCTGCTATTGGTTCCTATATGGGCAGTATTTCTCATGAAAATATCAACGAGGTGATTTCCTTCAGTATCAGAGAGTCAGTTTTACAATGCTTTGGGATCTTAATACTAGCTAAGACAGCCAGGAAAAGTATAGCAGCCAATAATTCCTAGACATAAGGTCCATTGAAAAAAATGGAAGGATGGCACATTGCTTCCCACAAGATTCCAAAATCATGAGCTACTCCAAAAACGTATCTATTGTCAGTATAAATGTTGGCAGTGCTGTCTTTGGCAAGGGCCCAGGGTGAGCATGTGTAATTCAGCATGTTGGCCTACTAGTCAAAGGCAAAAGTGCCATTTCGATTCCATCAGTGTTGATATTGGTATCCAGCACAATATCTACCATTTTCACTTTTCAAATAGGAGCTATCAGTGAACCATGAGTGTCAGCGTTACCCAGGTGGGTTTCTTGAAGGTTTGTTACCACAAGAGGTCAGAAAGTGACTGTGAATGTCAGACAGTAGTGAGGAACTTTGACAGTAGTAGCAGGGGACAAAGTAGCTGATTAAAGTGGTTAGAAGAGCTTCTATTGCACGAGATACAAAAATGGTTAAACAAGGGTCCCGCAATGATTTCCTTACTGACCGTAACCAAAAGGGCAGTGACAACAATGGCTCTAAAGCAAGGAGGTTATCCTCTTGCCAAAGGGTCTGGTTACTATTGTATCTTAAGGGTCAATGGTAGCTCCTCTTCTTTTCACGTGCCAAAAAGGGAGAAGGGAGGACCTCCCTGGTGGTGCCGTGGCTTTAGCTCAGTGCTATGAAGCTGTCCACAGCCTCGGCAGCACGGGTTCGATTTCCGGCCGGCCAGGGAGATGCCCACTTGATGCGGCAGACCTCTCCTGTCTCGCCTGCTGCTCCCCTCAGCAGTGCCTTTGGTCTGTCTGCCTGTTCTGCTCCCTGCTCTGTCTCTGGTGAATCCTCTCACCCTCCCAGGCCTCTGACCTGTACCCCAGCTCTTGAATAAATAAGTAAACTTAAAAAAAAAATCTTAAAAAAAAAAGGGAGAAGGGAAACTGATAATGTCCAAGGGTAGGTGGGTTTATTTAACCCTCCTTTAAAGCCATTAGTTTTGTTATCTTCTATCATAGGTTTTATGTCTTAAGGGGCTTCTTTACTTAAAGGGACCTGAAGAAGTTTCAGTTAGCCCCATAGCGTCAATGAGTTGGGTAGTAAGGGTATTATTATTCTGGATTCCCACATCACTGGAACCTTCCCAATTTCCATTATTAATCATACCAAAGAACTCCCTCCAAGCCCCTTATATCTCCAGCCTTGTAATCTTTCTGGGTTGTCTCTCTTGTCACTTTCTGTGTGTTGGTCCCCACAGTCTCGGTTTGAAGCATTCGGCACTTAATGACAAGGGCAAACCATGGGAAATGTCCACCTGGTTTCCATGACATAGACGGCAATGCTGGGTTAGCTAGTGGAGCCACTTTCTGTGGAATAGTGTTGGCAGAGTTATCCCCAAAGAATGGAGAGATCTGTCATCATTCCAGCTGGTATAAAACTGAATTGTTTCAAAACCAATTCACAATTGATGCCAAGTAAAAGTACTGTGTACCCATCAAAATATGACATGATTGAAGAAATAAAGTACATTTGAAACCGTAAAGAAAAAGAGAGACAGAGAGAGTGATCAAAGTTATAAATAAATGATCCTTTGACCTTTCAGTCCCAAGATTGACAGTAGTTGGTGGGGGAAGCCAAGGATCTTCGCTAACATGACTTTCTCTAAAGTTACATTTTTCACCTCAACATGACCCACACTGCTGCCCAGGAATCCTTTGGGTTGTCTCAATAATACAATATTTTAAAATTTTTATTTTTATTTAATATTTAAACCAGTAGATCAGAGACATCAACTTTTAACTGATGGAGCTGGTCTGAAAAAGGCCCCCAGCTGCACCCATATTGACTCTTTAATTGCCAACCAAAGGTGCTGGGAAAGAAATCAAGATTTCCTGGACAGGAGACAGTTAATAATTTTTTTTTAAAAGATTTATTTATTTATACATACAAGAACTGAGGTACAGGCCAGAGGTGCAGGGGGTGAGAGGATTCACCAGAGACAGAGTGGGGAACAGAACAGATGGACCAGCTGAAATACACTGCTGAGGGGAGCAGTGGGGGAGTCAGGAGAGGTCTGCTGTGCCATGTGGGCAGCTCAACTCATGCTGCAGTGGCTGCGGACAGCTTCATAGGCTACGTCTCAATCCCTTGCACCACCAGGGAGGCCCAACACTTAACAATTTATATAAAAGTATGTTAATTTTTTTAAAAAAAGGATTTATTTACTTATTTATACAAGAACTGGGGTACAGGCCAGATGTGTGGGAGCGTGAGAGGATTCACCAGAGATAGAGCTGGGAACAGAACAGGCAGACTGACGAAATACACTGCTGAGGGGAGCAGTGGGCGAGACAGGAGAGGTCTGCTGTGCCATGTGGGACCCTCGCTGGAGGTTTGCTGTGCCATGTGGGACCCTCGCTGGCTGGCTGGGATAGAACCAGCACTGCAGAGGCTTCAGACAGCTTCAAAGAGCTGTGCTCAACAGCCTGGGTCACCAGGGGAGGCCCAAAGTATGTTACTATTTTAAATAACTGATACATTTGCGTGGTTTAAACCAACTAAATATCAGTCTTGCTTTCAACCATGACCTTTCCAAAAACTGTCTCCCCCTTTTCTTGCCCCCATTCAATATCAATCTTCTTATTACTCATTAAAAAAAAAAAATTGTTGAACATTAGGTAAGCAAAGAGGAAAAAAAAATCCATGCATTTTGGCCTTACATGCTAATTGAAGGTCACAGATACTGAGGCCAACTCCAGCCTTGGTTCCTTGGGGCCCTCCAGCCAGGAATGCAGTGATGGTCCAGTCTGGGCTGGGGCCAGGCTTTTTCCTTTCACATCAGGCTTGAGGATATTGAAAATGGACCAGTTTAGGGCCTCCCTGGTAGCACTAGGGGTTAAGACATGACTTATGAAGCTGTCCGCAGCCTCTGCAGCACAAGTTCCATCCCTGGCCAGGGAGCTACCCACAAGGCACAGCAGACCTCTCCTGACTTGCCCGCTGCTCCTCTCAGCAGTGTATTTTAGTAGATCTGTCTGTTCTGTTCCCCACTCTGTCTCTGGTGAGTCCTCTCACCCCTCAAACTTCTGGCCTGTACCCCAGTTTTGTATGCATAAATAAATAAATTAAAAAAAAAAAGAAAATGGACCAGTTTAATTGGAGCTTGACCAGCATCAATCAAGCAGCTGCAATTAGAATCCCTTCCTTGCCCTTTGTTCCTAGTGTTCAGTTATACAAATAACTGGGATCGTAAATAGACGGATCTAATTGGCACTCTCATGGGTACCAATCAACTAAAAGGACCAGTCAGGTTCAAAAGGCAGGCAACTTGGATAATATATAAGTGAGGGTCCAAGCAGCCTGAAAGGAGAGTAGCAGAATTGAAGAGGACTTGAAGAGGCAGATGGAGAGGCTGTCAGGAAGACCTTCATTGAGCTGAACCTTGTCCTCTCATACCCTGTCTTTGTAGACCTGACCTTTTCTTCTGCCTCGGGCATCATCTGCTGAATGACACCATTGGCCCTGTGCTAGGTGTCCCTAAAAGAGCTGTTTGCTGTTGGCTTTATGCCCAGCATCTCTGAGAGATATAACACTGATCCCTGCCTCTGACATATCCCACACCATCACCAGAGGCTGTTTTCTTTGGTGCTGACCAGTCTGGTGTTCAGTGCTGCCCAGCTCAGCCTTTGTTTTGCTGTTGCTGACTGCTGTGGTTCCACTTTGCAGAGACTTTCAACTTTTGACCTTTGAACCATTGCTATTGCTTCTGATCCTGCCTGCCTCTAACACTCTCCTCTCTCCCAACTTCTCTGTCTCTGTTCCCTATGTAAATAAAGCCACTGCTGTTGAACCCTGAACCTGAGCTGTGTCCTGTAAATGCAGTTGTAGACACATGAATGAGAACCCACCAACCATGATATTTTGGCTCTCCCAGGCTTTGCACGGTGACAAAATCAGTGTAAATGTAGTGAGTAGACACTGTCTCTGGTGAATCCTCTTACCCACTCCACCACAACCCCCCACATCTCTGGCCAGCACCCCAGTTCTTGTATGCATAAATAAATAATCGTTTAAAAAAAGAAAGTCTATAAAAAAAAAGTAGTGGGTAGAAGGCAGTACTGTTCTCTTGGGCTCCATCAAAAGTCTGTGATTGCAGCTTTCTCTAGAGAATTCTGCCTGCCAATGAGTATTACCTTGAGATTGTGTTATAAAGTATTCAAAATCATTCCAAAATTAATGTGTATTATTAGTGCCATGATTAACATTCATATAATCACCCAAACACACCAGTCCCATTCCAGATTTGCTCTTTGGAAAGAAGAGCTCTGGTAATAGAGCTTATTCTTTGACCAAGTGACCATTTCTATAGCTTTCCTTTCTCTTTCAAAGAGGAATTTTTGTTTGAATGTTATTAGCAATCTGTAAAACACAGATCCTGCTTTGATTTCTATTCCAATCACGCATTGTTTGTATGATTTTAATTTAACTAGTGCCTGCTTTTTAGCCCAGATAGATGTTTAACTTGTAATAACAGGTGATGTCATTTCTTCATAAAAATAAGTTATTAAAATTCTTTTACAGCTGAAGGCATCATGATGTAGTGGTAGTTCTGCTTGTGTTTGGGGGGGGCTTTGGGGAGATGTTGTATTTCTTCCTTAGTTTATTATAATTAGAGATATTTGTATGAAAATAGAATCTCTGTTGCTTAAGTGTTGCTCAGCTCCTGCTGATCAGTTCTCACTCACAGGCACCGTCCTTTGTGATATAATAGTTAGTTGCTGTGGAGATGATTATCCTGTCATGGAGAAAAAAGACTTATGAATTTAAATGAAGAATGAACAGCAGGAGCAAAAGAACTATGCCAAAAGCCAAGCATTTCATCCATTTTAATTTTCTATTGCTTTTTAAATATATGTTATATCATAAAGTTAGATGTGTCAGCTTAAATAATACAGTTTCACAGTTAGTGATGAATAATGACAAAAGGAGAATTTAAAAGAAAAGGCAAGATATATGCTGACAACCAGTACAGAGGCAAGAATGGGCCCAAGTTAAAGAAAACTCAACAATAACAAGTAAATACTATGGACTATAATGTCATCGTTTAGACAAAAAATTAAGTTATTTGGGCAGTTATTGCAACCTACTTCTGATAAGTTATTGAGGTAATTTAGGATTTGCCAATAAGAAGGAAGTAAAGTGTTGAGATAGAAAGGTGGATTAGGGCCTCCCTGGTGGCACAGCGGTTGAGCCCTGGTTTGCGAAGCTGCCGGTAGCCTCTGCAGCACCGTTTCGATCCCTGGCTGCTCCCCAGCCACTGGAGGAGGGTCCCACATGGTGTGCAGACCTCTCCTGCCACCCGCTGCTCCCCTCAGCAGTGTACTTTGTCAGTCTGCCTGCTCTGCTCCCTGCTCTGGCTCTGGTGAATTCGCTCACCCTTCCGCGCTTCTGACTGTACACAGTGCTTGTATAAATAAACAAATGCAATCTTAAAAAAAAAAAAAAAAGAAAAAATTCACACACACACACAAAAAAAAGAAAGGTGGATTAAACAGAACTGGATTTAATGCCACTTTTAAGCAATTGATCTTAGACCACTTGGCCCACTTTGATCTTCAGTTTCATCAACTATAAAATTGAGATAAATCTGTAAGGTTGTTTTCTGGGTTATTCAACTGATATGGACTCATATGGCTATACCTGTTGTTTATAGCAATGTTCCTTTTTTATTTTTTAAAAAAAGATTTATTTATTTAGGCATATAAGCACTGGGGTACAGACCAGAGGTATAGGGGGTGAGTGGATTCACCAGAGACAGAGTGGGGAACAGGCAGAGAGACTGAAATGCACTGCTGAGGGGAGCAGTGGGTGAGCCAAGAGAGGTCTGCTGTGCTATGTGGGTAGCTCTCTGGCTAGGGATTGAACTCATGCTGCAGTGGCTGTGGGTAGCTTCATAGGTGGTGTCTTAGCCCCTTGCGCCACCAGGGAGGCCCCAGTATAGTGGCTTTTAACTTCCTCAGTCCCCAAGACACATCTTACTCCTCTGCTGCCCATTGACCAGAAGTATTCACATAACCCCACCAGCCTCTTACAAGGGAGGTTGAGAAATGTTATAGGCAACCACTCACTGTCTTTGCCACATCATCTTTGTTTGTGAGGATTTAATAGTATATATAAAGGATTTACATTTGTGCTTAATGTGATCAGATCACAAAGGTTGACAAATTACAAAAAAAAAAAAAAAAATGAATTCACACCAGGTTTATAGCTTGTCGTGAATGACAAATTGGCTGAGATTATTTTCATTTCCACCTCAAACCAGCAAAACAGCAGAAGAAAGGATGCACGTGAAATTGATCGAAGTTCATGTTGAATGCAGTCATCTGCTTCGTTCCTTATGGAAGCATGTCTCAGATTCAGCAAACTGAGCAGCCCATGTGGGAGAGGAACCTTATTTATAGGTTCGAGAGGAGAGAGGCCCAGAACAGAGGTTTGCTTTTCCATTCTTTTAGGTAAGACTGGATAGTAGCAGAATTGGGAGATGATGAGAAAAGTGAACATGGAAGAGCCCATTCTATTAGCATAAACATTTCTTGCTGTCAGTTACCAATTCTACAATTTATTACTGCATCTTTGAGATTACATTAATAAAAATTTCCTGAATTGGGCCTCCCCGGTGGTGCAGTGGCTTGAGCGCTGTGCTGTGAAGCTGTCTGTAGCCTCTGCAGCACAGGTTCAATTCCCGAATGGCCAGGGAGATTCCCACATGGCGTGGCAGACCTCTTAATGTTTTGAGAAACTACCATACTGTTTTCCATAGAAAACAGTATTAGGGGAGCCCGTTGCTCCCCTCAGCAGTGTATTTCAGTGTATTTCAGTCAGTCTGCCTGTTCTGCTCCCCACTCTGTCTCTGGTGAATCCTCTCACCTTCCTGCACCGCTGGTCTGTTCCCCAGCTCTTGTACAAAAATAAATGAATCTTTAAAAAGAAAAGAATTTCCTGAATTCATACTTTATGATTATGGTGGATTTATAACGGGTGCTATAGGAGGATGCTAAAAAAAGAAAAGCCTCCTCTCATAAGGAATGTATAATTTAATTAAGGAGATTAAGGCAGGTCAATCAATTAATAAATGGCAAACCTATGCCTATGAAAGAAAGATAATTCAAAAATAAGGCAACTATGATAAGATGTTGCTTTTGCATTATAAATTACAAAAAATAAATGAGTGAAGAGAGTAATTATTAGGAAAGTTAGTAGAAGTCTGGCAACATTAATTTTCCTGGGAGAGTTAAAGAATATTTCATTTTAAGTTCAGATTCCAAAGTAAAGAAGTGCAGAGAATTTCAGATCACATTTAACAACAGATCTGGTCTTGGAGTCTGAAAAAATTTCAACTCAATTGCTCTGGACAGGGCAACATCAGGAATAGCCTGGATGCTATAGGATGGAATGCATAGAAGAAGGTATACCCTAGGGCTGTCAAGAAATGCCTGGGGGGCCCTCCTTGTTGGCATAAGGGGTTAAGACGCAGCACTATTAGGCTGTCTGAAGACACTGCAGCATGAGTTGGATCCTCGGCCAGGGAGCTACCCACATGGTGCAGCAGACCTCTCCTGACTTGCCCACTGTTCCCCTCAGCAGTGTATTTCAGTCAGTCTACTTGTTCTATTCCCTATTCTGTCTCTGGTGAATCCTCTCACCCCCCACATCTCTGGCCTGTACTCCAGTTCTTGAATGTATAAGTGAATAAATCTTAAAAAAAAAAAAAAAACTGGAAAACTTACCTCGTTTAAAAAAAAGAAATTTATTTAATTCAGACAGAAACATTGCTTAACCAAAGACAGTTACTTTGTCTGTCAGGAAACTTTTTTTTTTAAAGATTTATTTATTTATGTGCACAAGAACCAGGGTAGGGGCCAGGTGTGAGGCATGAGAGGATTCACCAGAGGCGGAGTAGAGAACAGAACAGGCAGATGCACTGGAATACACTGCTGAGAGGAGCAGTGGGCGCAACAGGAGAGGTCTGCTGCACCATGTGGGTAACTCCCTAGCTGGCTGGGAATTGAACTCTGTGCTGCAGAGGCTGCCCATAGCTTCACAGTGCTGTGCTTAATCCCTTGCTCCACCAGGGAGGCCCATCTGTCAGGAAACTTAACAAGTACATATTTGAAATTCCTTCTGTGACACAGGGGAAAGCACTAATCTTAAACTTCTTGAAAGACATGAATTTCATCATGTAGTCTTGTGTCTATGGTCCTGGGCAGGACTCAGCAGGCAGAAGCAGGAACAGGGTACCTGGGCAGGAACAGGAGACTTCTAAGAACACTGTTATAGAGCATGAATGAGATTTAGGAGGATGAAGGAGTGATAATGAAATATGACTTGTTACGTAATAATAATTATTAAGAAATGAGTTTAACACTTGGTGTTGGTGGGAATATAGGCTAGCCTAGCCTCTGTGGAAAACAGTATGGTAGTTTCTCAAAACATTAAGAAGAAATCAACCATATGATTCAGGATTCCCTATTTTAGGTAACTTCCATAAGAATACAAAAACACTAACTAATTCAAAATGTATATATATACTTCTGTTTATTGGAGCACAATTCACAATAGTCAAATTATGGGAATGAACTAAATGCCCAGCAACAGATGACTGGATTACGAAGCAGTGGTATATGTATATACATAATGGAATGTTATAGAGCTATGAAAACGTGAAATCTAGCCATTTGTGACATGGATGGAACTGCAGGTGATTATGTTTATCAAAAAATTAGGAGGACAAATACCAGATGATTTCACTAATAGGCAGAATACAGGGCCTCCCTGGTGGCACAAGGGGTTAAGACGTAACCTATGAAGCTATCTGCAGCCACTGAAGTATGAGTTTGAACCCTGGCCAGGGAGTTACCCACATGGTGCAGCAGACCTCTACTGTCTCCCCACGGCTCCCCTCAGCAGTGTATTTCATCAGTTTGCCTGTTCTGTTCCTCACTCTGTCTCTGGTGAATCCTCTCACCCCCCACACCTGTGGCCTGTACTCCAGTTCTTGTATAAATAAATAAATCTTTAAAAAAATATGCAGAATACAAAGAAACAAAACAAAGGAACAGTCAAAAACAACCAAAACCAATGCTTGAAATCTGACTATAGAACTGAGGCTACCAGAAGAGGAAGGAGTGGGGACATCAAAGAGGAGGGGGCTCAGTGGTAGAAGATTATTTGGGTTTTGGTGCTGAGCTTGGTGTGATAATATCCATGTGTAGAGGTATGAACCTATATCCCTAAAACATAAGCAATGTTGTAAATCAACATTATCTCAATAAACGTATTAAAAATATATAAACTTTGACCTTAAAAATGAGTTTCAACATATTTTGTGTATTTTTTGTGTGTTTTGAGAGAAATGAAAGTGCCAGGATTCAGTAAATAGTGTCTAGAAAAATGTCTACAGCTCATCAACTTAACATAAATAAGTTTTTTTCTTTTTTTTTTTTATAGAGGCATGTTTTATTTATTTATTTATTTGTTTGTTTGTTTTGTTTATACAAGCACTGGGTACAGTCAGAAGCGCGGGAGGGTGAGAGAATTCACCAGAGCCAGAGCGGGGAGCAGAGCAGGCAGAAGGACCGAAGTACACTGCTGAGGGGAGCAGCGGGCGGCAGGAGAGGCCTGCGCGCCATGTAGGATCCTCCTCTGGTGGCTGGGGAGCAGCAGGGGATCGAACCAGCACTGCAGAGGCTGCAGGCAGCTTCGCAACCCAGCGCTCAACCGCTGCGCCACTGGGGAGGCCCAATAAGGTTTTTTTTTTTTTTGAAAAATAATTTAAATTTTTCTTGGAAGTATTAAAATTAAACTAGTGCCACTTTTTTTTTTTAAGTAATGTAATACTACCTCAATTTACATCTGCTCAGCTGACGGACAGTACCAACAAGGAAGCTGCCTTAATTCCTATTTTCAGATGAAAATATCCGAGTGTAAATATATATATTAAAATGGAAAGCTGTAGATCATGAGAAAATCTTGATTGTCTTAAGAGCACAGGATTTTGAGTCAGAAAACAAGTTGAGTATACATCACTTTCTGTCTTTATCCAGCTGTTCAATTTTGGGGTGAAGGACAGTTATTTAATTTCCTTCAGCTTCATTTCCTAAACTATAAAACAGGTATCTCTGTACTCACCTGCAGCCAGGTAGTAAGACTTAAAGGAAAATATGGATCTAAAGTGGCTAGACACAATAGTTAATAAATGTTTCTTATTTCATTATTCAGCACGCTCTTAGTAGATGGACTAGTGACCCAGATCTGTAATTATCTAGCTATTCTGGACTCATCATAATTTGACCTTAGAGTAGTTTAATTTGCTCAGTTAGAACAAGCTGCCCTTTTCACTGAGGGTGCTCTTAGGTGTGAAGTAAACAATCTGTACTTTGTTATATTCAGCCAGCTGTAGTCCAACATGGACTACAGAAGATGAAAAAGAGAAAAAGAAGTGAAAAATATTGAAGGCTTTAGAATAAAAAATAACTCTTGGAAAAACCTGAGAAAATGGATTGTTTCAGAGCTGACATTTATTTGAAAAGAAGAAATAGCATTGGATGTGTGCTGAGAATTTTGTGCTTTGAGCAGCCGCAGCATAGTGCTAAAACCTTTCATTTAATGGCCTCATAATCTGTTAAATAGCTAAGTGATTTTTATCTTAATGCATTTTACGAAGCAAAATAAATAGCTATCTAAGTGCTTTTTGATGTGTGAAGTAATGTACTTTTTAATTGTCACTTGTAAATGTCATTAATTTAGTAAAATCTCTTCACTCTCTGCTGATGATTTTCCCTCTCTGATAACACAGAGAATATTTATTTGCTTGTTGGCATCTATAGGAATGCTCTTTTATAAGCATGGAGATGGGGATTCAATAACGACATGCAAATAGATAAATGTGAAGATTTATATGGAGTGTTGCAAGGTGAAAAAATATTATCTTTATAAATGGCCCTGAAATTTATCTATGGAGGGAATTGTTTTACTTTAGGAAATGCTTCAGCTGACTGCTTGGGTGAGAATCTCAGCATGTTCAGATGGAGGCATGAGAACAAAAGAGACAGGGTATTGTTCCACACAAGAAGGAACTGAGTTCAGAGAAGTTGAGAAGGGAGAAGCTGAGGCAAGAGAGAGGATGGCTGAACAATGTAGTACAGAGGTAAAGGGTTTCTTTTTTTTTTTTTTTTTTTTTTTAATAGAGGCATGTTATTTATTTATTTATTTGTTTGTTTGCTTGCTTTGTTTATACATGCACTGGGTACAGTCAGAAGCGCGGGAGGGTGAGAGAATTCACCAGAGCCAGAGCAGGGAGCAGAGCAGGCAGAAGGACCGAAGTACACTGCTGAGGGGAGCAGCGGGCGGCAGGAGAGGTCTGCGCACCATGTGGGACCCTCCTCCGGTGGCCGGGGAGCAGCCGGGGATTGAACCGGCGCCGCTGAGGCCGCGGGCAGCTTCGCAACCCAGC